GGCGGGGGGAAAAGATGTATTTTATGGTGCATGAGGATGAAATTGCATTTCTACACACATTAAACGAAATCGCTTGCTGGAAATTTTGAAAATTTATTTGATTGTAAACTTGACGGAAAAATCTTCTTAAGTCAATGGTGTTAATTTCATTGGCTTATTGCCTTTTATGGCGGGGTTGAAAATCGCAGAATCTTAGAAGATATTAAAGTTAATGCATATGGTTTATAATATTGTGATGGGAAAAGCCACATCAATATTAGTTGGGAATTGTAAAGTGGTTATTTTATAAGTTTGGAATTATTTTGGAATTATATTAGATATTTACTATAATTTATATATTCATACCCTCAGCCATATGGTTAGAGGGGGTATATACCATTTGATAATGCCAAAACGTGCCTCATCGAAATAACGTTTTTAGATCCTAGGTCTCTTTGGACCAAATCCCTTTCAGGATATTTGGAGTCAATCTAGGGGTATCCGCCCGTCTGTCCGCCTGTTTGGTTGGTGCGCACCATAACTCTCGAAGGGAGTATGCGATTTGTAATATTATTGTCAAACTTAGATCGAATTCGGAGATGGGCAATATCGGTCTACTCCTTCTGGATTTTTCAAAAAATATTTTACTCCACAGAAAGAGAAAGGATAATTTGATTTTGCTCCAACTTTGCAAATCCTAATATTAGCGTCAGTGCTAGTTCAGGTGCGAAAATGGACAATAGGTTCAAAATTTTGAAAATAATTATTATTCTTATAAAATGGGATGTAAAAGTCCGATTGTCTTTAAATTATACACATACCAATATTTTTATTAATCCAAGGTCTGGTGTTAAGGTGGAATATATTGGTCTACTCCTTCTGGTACCTCCTCCAATTTGTAATAGTTATAACTCCTATAAAATGTGATGTAAGAGTATGATTGTCTTCAAATTACACACATCTCAATATTTTTATTAACCCAAGGTCTAGTGTTAAGATAGGATATATCGGTCTACTCCTTCTGGTACCTACTCTACAAAAGGTCGAAATTAAAAAAAAATATTTTTTCTGCACTGGAAGAGAAATGATAATTCGATTTTTTTCCAACTTTGCAAATCTTAACATTTGCATCAGTGCCAGGTTAGATGCGAAAATGGACAATATCGTTCTACTTCATCAAGTACCTCCACCACAAAGGGTCAAAATTTTAAATAAATTTAACTCTTATAAAATGTGAAGTAAGAGCCTGATTGTCTTCGAATTTCACACATCCCAATATTTTTATTAACCCAAGGTATGGTGTGAAGATAGGATATATCGGTCTACTCCTTCTGGTACTTCCCTAACAAAGGGGCAAAATTTCGAATATCCACGAAACACAATAAACTTAAAATTATCATCCCATTCCTTTCACGTTTTCCACATCTCAGTGTTCTCTCAAGACAAGATCTGTTATAAAGATTGTAGAGATCGGAAAAATTCCTTCTGGTACCACCCCCACAAGGGGTCAAAGTTTTGAATAACCGAAACGATTATAAAATCAGAAATAAGAATACGATTCTCTTCATTTTTCACACTTTCCATTATTTCTACTAACAGAAGATCTACTGTGAACATGGGATATATCGGTCTACTTCTTTTGGTACCTCCCCCACAAAGGGTCAAAATTTGGAATATGCATGAAGCTTTGAAAACGCGAAATTAAAATCCGATTCCATTCAGAGTTGCTACATCTAAATATTTCTATCAACTCAAGAGCTGTTATAAAGATGCTAGAGAACGGACCATTTCTTCTGGTACCTCCCCCACAAAAGGTCAAAGTTTTGAATAACCGAAATGATTATAAAATCCGAAATAAGCATCCGGTTCTCTTAATATTTCACACATTCCATTATTTAAATTAACAGAAGATGCACTGTGAAGATGGAATATATCGGTCCACTCCTTCTGGTACGTACCTCCCCACAAAGGGTCAAAATTTTGAATATCCATAAAACGCGAAATTAACATCCGATTCCATTTGGATATAAATGTTCGATTTTCTTGTAATTTGGCCCATACCAATATTTTTATCTGTATTAACATTATCACATATCTCATATGAAGTATGGGAAGTAGTTGATAAAGTCCAAACCTGGCACGTCACAATATTTATATCATATTTATTTAGCTCCAATACGAAATGGACATTATTGGTCCATTCCTTCGGAATCTACTCCATAGAGGATAAATAATTTGAATAATCATAACAGAAGTCAAAATATATTTAAATAATCGAACAATGGCTGAAGGCATACGTCAGTCGGCAAAACCGACTGATACTTCTTCACTTGTTTTAGTTAAGAATTATGTCTTCCTAAATTGTTTGACTCGAAAATCCTAATTTATGAAAGTACAACGAAGTATTTATACCCTACACCACAAGGTGGTCAGGGTATTATGTCTTTGTACATTTGTTTGTAACAGGCAAAAGGAAACGAGATAGACCCATAGTTCCTTTTGATGATCGGCATAGAATCACATTCTGAGTCGATTTATGCATGTCCGTCCGTCCGTCTGTCCGTTTGCCCATGTATTTTTGTAAACAAAGTACAGTTCGCATTTATTGCCCTATCCAGATGAAATTTTGCACAAATCATTTGTTTGGCCCAAGGACGAACCCTATTGAAATTGCAGATAATTGGTCAAAATTTAGATATAGCTTCCATATATATCTTCGTCCGATTTGCCTTTTATGGTGCACCAAACGTGTAATATCAATCCGAATAGTATGGAATTTTGCATGTACGATCAGATTGGACCTGAAAATAAGTATGCCGAATTTGATCGAAATCGGTTTAGATATAGCTATAGCTCCCATATATATTGTTCATCTGATTTGTTATTTTTGTACTCCGCGGCCTTAATATGCACTCTGTAACAACAATATTTAGGCAAATATATCAAATGCAGCTCAGAAATACCTTTGCTAAATTTTATCGAGATCGGTTCAGATTTGGATATAGCTCCCGTATATAACTTCGTCCGATTTATCTTTGATTGTGCACCAAACGTCTAATATTTGCCCAAATTAGATGAAATTTGGCACTTACGACCGAATTGAGTCTAGAAGCTAGTATGTCAAATTTGGTGATTCGGTTTAGATATAGCTATAGCTCCCATATATACTGTTCATCCGATTTGTCATATTTGTTACCCACAGCCGTAATATGCACTCCGTAACAACGATATTCAGGAAATATATCAAATACAGCTCAGAAATATCTTTGCCAAATTTTATCGAGATCGGTTCCTATTTGGATATAGCTCCCATATATATTTTTATCCGATTTCAAATTAATTGTGCACCAAATGGGCAATACTAGTCCGAATTTAAGAGATACAAATGCTTCGGCATATTTAGTTCTTTGAACTTTAAATTATAATTATTATTAATTCTCCCATAAAAACTTTTAATTGTTATGCGGAGCTCTACTAAATTAGCAAAGTGGTGTAGGGTATCATAAAGTCGGCCCAGCCCGACTTTAAGGCTTTCTTTTTCATTTATTGGTCACTACGATTCGATCGATTGTCGAATCGTGTTAGAGAACCATATTAATTGATTTTCGTCAAGACTTCTACGGACCATGTTTTTTGTGATATTATTTGGTAGACATTTCAATTCGACCGATTTTCGAATCGTGTTAGAGAAAAATTTCAATATTTTTTTTTGTTGGGAATTCTATGATTATTTTTATTGACTTTTCACCTAAGAGCAGCAAAATTATAGTAGTTTAAGATGTCAAGTTTTATTTTTTTCTATTGCAAGCGGCAATTTGTTATTTTCTCTATAGAGTAGTTATGTGATATCTTGTAATGTTTAGAAAATCAATTAACCAATGACTCATACAATCAAATTTTATGGAATGTACATATCATCATATTTGTTTTTGTTTTCATACTACTCCATTACATACATACTGACATACATACAAACATATGTGTAAATATCCATATTAAAAATCTGAAAAAAAATTATTTTTTTTACATTTCATAACGTTTGATGTTGTCGTCCATTGTAAATCAATTCAAGTCAATTCAAATCAATCGAAACTGCTTTTGATGTTTTGTCTCATGTGTCTCAGATCTAGAAAAGTGTCATTTCATTGTCATGTGGCAATCTCCTCTGCTGGACCATAGCCGCCATGGAACACCAAAATGCTTGCTAAAATAATCTAATTTTGTTTACTTCTCTTTTTCTTCTGAAAAAAAAAGAAAATTCTTCATTTTCCTTTTACTAACCCTTGAGATAATTTCCGATTTAGCTCCTTTACTCAGTTTCTCACGCTCCTTTTTTCCCATTGGAAACATTGGGATTTCCATGGAACCTTATACTCTAACTCTTAAAAGTCTCTAGTTTTTCTTCATTTCTTCCTTATGCGTTTAATTTTAAAGGGCTCTAATCTTTGTTCCCTTACAAAAAAATTATGCAATAAAATTCTAAACCCCAATTCAAGGAGAAATTAGTTTCCCAGTTCTTTTTGCATCTATGATTTTTCTTCTTCTATTTCTTCTCATTTCTTCTTATCCTCAAAACATTCTATAAAAAATCGAAAAACCAAAAAAAAAAATCACATATATTTATAATTATGTATTTTTCTTGTGTAAAATTGAAATTTATATATATATAAACATATACCTATATATTGATATTTGATGTTTGTTTAATTATTTTTAATATGTGTGTACTTTTATATTGCTGCATTTTTCTCATAAACAATTTTTTTCTTTTTTTCTTTTTTCCATATACTCGTTATACTCGTATCAAACCAAAAAAAAAAAAAACCAATCTCTAATTATCAATTATCGCACCATTCAAACTGTAAACCAAATCTAAAAAAAAAAATAAAACCAACCACCACCTACCACTTCAAAAATTAAATTCGATAAAAATTGTCATCATTCAACATCGCCACCACACCACCAAAACAACCACTATCTCTCTACTTATATCTGCCACACCACCTTAATAATCAAATCAGAAGGACTAAAACCAAACGCATTATAACCAACCAACCAATCAACCAACATCTAACCAAACGTTCGTTGCGTGTTGCATTGCTTAACAGAAACCGAAACAGAAACTAAAGCAGGCTGTCAGAACTCACCAAAATTACAGATAATTAAACAAAAAAAAAAAAAAATATCATAAGGAACTCATTAGTGTGGCACACATCAAACGAAACAACAACAAAAACAAGAAAAGAACTCGGAAGGATCACATCATTAACTGAGAAAAAGCACAAGAGAACAAAAGTTAGCCAAAGAGAGTCAACAAAGAGAAAGAAAAACAAAAAAACAGAAAACAAATTTTGAAGTGGTTATGAAAAATTGCCATCAACAAGTTTAATAGCTGGCGGCAAACAGGATCAAATCCCAAAAGCATCATCCATACCATACTCAGAGATTTTATTAGCAATTTGGAGTAACTGAAGTGAGGGGCAAAGGCAACAGAGAAAAAACAAGTCACCCAGGCCAAGCAAATACGTGTAGCTAATTTTTTGTGTTTTTGGTTAAATGCTTATTACGCTCTCATCATTGCTGTAAATCAAAACCTATAGCTCTCGCCACAATCTTTGTCGCCAACCAATCAATCAGTCGCTCTCTCTCTCTATCTCCTATCTCTATATAAATATTTCGCTCTGTTGTGACGATTAAACATCTCAAAACAGTAATAGAAAACCATCCCAAAAATCAAAAATAAAATCAAGCAAAACAACACCAAAAAATATCCACCACAACCACCAAACGCCACCAACCACCACCGTCAGAGCTATTTGAATCATCAACCAAATCAAAAAAAGCAAAAAAACATTTCAAAACAATCGCCCAACCAGAGAGGTTAGCTAAACTCGTTTCTCTCTCGCCATCGTTATCGTTAAAACCATCAAAATTCCCATCATAATGGCCGAAGACGCTACCATGGAAACTTGCCCCAGCCCTGAAATTGGTGACTCTAGAAAAAGACCACTCGATACCGATCCAGAAAATGAACAATCCAAACGCTCCCATTTCAGTTCTGGTAAGTTTTTGTTTTGTTTTTTTTTCTTCTGTTGTTTTCTGTTCAGTTCAGTTTGTTCTGAGAGCCGGCAACGAAACGAGCTCTCGTTTTTCTTTTTCTCTCTTTTGATATGATTTCTTTCTCTTTAGTACAAAACAAAAAAAAATCTCTCTCTATCTATCTATCTCTCTCTCAAACAATCATTGATCGTTTCATTTACTCTCACTTTATATATCAGTCGATTTATCTCTCTCTCGTTATCATTTGATATTTTGTATTTTGTTTCCTTTATTATTTTCATTGACAGAAAAGCTCTCTTATTATATATTTAATAATATTTTTACCAAATATAAATATCTAAAAAAAAATCATGATATAACATTTTCTTATAAATATATATACGTGTATTTGTTTTATTATTATTATTATGGATCAACAAATCAAATAAATCAAACAACATATTCCCGTCTATATTTCTCTAAATTTCGCTCTCGCCCTCTCTCTCTATATATATGAAACTACATTGCAATTACTCAAATTTCTCTCAGCGAATTGTTATTATTATCTATTCAACATGATGCGCATCATTTAACTCTCGCTGCATAATCAACCAATCAATCAATCAGTCTGTCAATCAATCGCTCAATCAGTTAATCGTCAATCAAGATCAACTCTACAAGTCCTTTCATGCTCCAGATCAGCTCAATCGTTGTCAGTGTTTTCGTGTCATTTTTGTGTTCTCATATTGTTCTCTTTTTTTAACGCTTTTTAAGCTTTAATTATTTTGGTTTAATTGTCAAGATAATTTGTTTTTTTTTTTAAGAAATTTAAGGTTTTAAGATATATTGTTTAATTAAGAAATAGTTAAATAAAAGTATGTAAAAATTGTTTTATATGTGAAAAAGATAAATTTTATTGCTTAATAAAAAATTGCCTAATAGTTTGCAGCTGATCGTTTATTTTAATAACAAAAGAAGAAGAAAATCTACAGTTGGAACCAGTTATAAGTGGACTTTAATAAAGTAAAGTCTTTATTATCACCTCTAATGAGCGTAATTCTCTCCACACTCTCAATTAGAATCATTGAAAAACAATGCAACTTTCTCTCCGGTCATAAAATTTAAACCAGCCTTGCTCACAATACATGCCTTAGTAATGGTGAGAAACTCTCCCGCTCTGCCAAAACAATTGCAAATGAAAATCGAGAGAGAATACATGTGCTTTGTTTATACATTTTCGTTCGAAGATGCCCATAGCTGATTTGAGCAGACATGATTAATATAAACTGGTGCTCTCCCTCTCTCGATAAACATGTGACACTCATGAGAACAAGTTTAGTCCTAAGAGTTAACACAGAACAATGATTGTGTGTGTGCTCTCACCAAATGTCCATTAACAGGGTGAGATAAAAAACTGCAACAAAGTCAAACGCAAACATTTTTACATTTTTTTTTTAATTTTTGAATGAAAGCAAACAATGTCGGAAATAGAATCAAATTTTAGAATAAGTTTCGTTTTGTTCGAATTGGTCATCTTTGGCACGAATTATGGCCTTCAAACGGCCAATGAAACCCGAATGTTGCTCTGCGGTATTTTGGCCCATTCCCGGCGAAGCGCTTGCTTAAGCTGATCGACACTTTGGTATTTTTTTAGTGCCAACCTTGCTGTTTCTAAAATACTCCAGACACAATAGTCCAACGAATAGGTATCCAGAGATTTTGGTGGCCATTGTGAGCTGGAAATGAAGCGAGGAACCTCATTTTGTAACCAGTTTTGGGTAGCACGTGCTGAGTCCTGTTGGAATGTCCAAGGTCTGCGGCGAAAATGTTTGCGTGCCCAAGGATTTAATACACCCTCGAGAATATTTTCGCGGTAATATTCGTCATTTATTCTGATATCACGGTCATTTATTCTGATATCACGGTCGATTACTACGAGCAGAGAGCCACCATCGGCTGTTATGGCGGCCCACACCATCACCATGGCCGGCGCATGAGCTCTGGTGGCCAACCGAAGGTGCACACTTTCAGTTGACCTCTTTGACAAGTAAACATGATCATTTTGTTTGTTTAAAAACTGCGGGACAACGAATGTTTTTTCATCGGAAAAAACCTAATTCGGCTGTTCACTACTTTCGGCCAAGCGAAGCAACTCTTTGGCTCTTTTAAGTCTATTTTCTTTCTGTTGCGGTGTAAGCCGGCGCTTGAGTTCTGGTGGCCAACCGAAGGTGCACATTTTCAGTTGACCTCTTTGGCAAGAAAACGCGTTCATTTTGTTTATTTAAAAACTGCGGGAGATCGAATGTTTTCTCATCGGAAAAACCAAATTCGGCTGTTCACCACTTTCGACCAAGCGAAGCAACTTTTTGGCTCTTTTGAGTCTATTTTCTTTCTATTGCAGTGTAAGTTCTTGCACTTTTTGGAATTTCAATGGCTTCACACCGAGCTCATTTTTCAATATTTGCTGAATGGAATATTGCGATATGTTCAGTCCACAAGCCATTTTTCGGCCACTGCGACCAGAAGAGGATCTTCTTTTATAGAAGACCAGATGATGGTCTTCTCTCATAGAAGACCAGAAGGTGGTCTTCTCTCATATAAGATCAGAAGGGGGTCTTCTCACAAAAGACCAGAAAGTGGTCTTCTCATACCAACCACAAGGCCCTCTCAAAGAAAACCACAAGGTCTTCTCATAGAAGATAACAAGAAGACCAGAAGATCTTCTCCCATAGCAGTTCTCCTTTCACAGAAGTCCAGAAGGTCATCTCGCACTGAATTAAAAAATGCTCTTATCTCATAGAAGACCAGAAAGAAAGTTATAGAAGAGCAGAACGTGGTCTTCTCTCTTAGAATACCAGAAGGTGGTCTTCTGTCTTAGAGTACCAAAAGGTGGTCTTCTCTCTTAGAAGACCAGAAGGTGGTCTTCTCTCTTAGAAGACCAGAAGGTGGTCTTCTCTCTTAGAAGACCTGAAGGTGGTCTTCTCTCTTAGAAGACCAGAAGGTGGTCTTCTCTCTTAGAAGGCCAGAAGGTGGTCTTCTCTCTTAGAAGACCAGAAGGTGGTCTTCTCTCTTAGAAGACTAGAAGGTGGTCTTCTCTCTCAGAAGACCAGAAGGTGGTCTTCTCTCTTAGAAGACCAGAAGGTGGTCTTCTCTCTTAGAAGACCAGAAGGTGGTCTTCTCTCTTAGAAGACCAGAAGGTGGTCTTCTCTCTTAGAAGACCAGAAGGTGGTCTTCTCTCTTAGAAGACCAGAAGGTGGTCTTCTCTCTTAGAAGACCAGAAGGTGGTCTTCTCTCTTAGAAGACCAGAAGGTGGTCTTCTCTCTTAGAAGACCAGAAGGTGGTCTTCTCTCTTAGAAGACCAGAAGGTGGTCTTCTCTCTTAGAAGACCAGAAGGTGGTCTTCTCTCTTAGAAGACCAGAAGGTGGTCTTCTCTCTTAGAAGACCAGAAGGTGGTCTTCTCTCTTAGAAGACCAGAAGGTGGTCTTCTCTCTTAGAAGACCAGAAGGTGGTCTTCTCTCTTAGAAGACCTGAAGGTGGTCTTCTCTCTTAGAAGACCAGAAGGTGGTCTTCTTTCATAGAAGACCATAAGGGGGTCTTCTTTCATAGAAGACCAAAAGGTGTTCTTCTTTCATAAAAGGCTAGAAGATTAAAACCTCAAGCTCTCATAGAAGACCACAAGATCTTCTCATTATTCTAATCTATCCTCTCCATATTTATGCAATTCTTTTTGTGGGGTTATCCGTCAAGGATTCAAAGTGAACTTTTTTCCCCTTAAAATACTTTTATTCTATTCCTCACGATTGTTTTTTTTATATATTTTATTTCATTTCAAAACCTGACGTTGAGTATCTTATTTCATTCTGTCATTGTGGGTCTGTTTCACATTTTCCTCTTTGTATATGTGTTTGCTTTTGACTTTCAAAAGGATAACAGGAAAAAGGAAACGAGCTAATAAACTTAAATACACAAAGTCATTATAAACTCTTTTTTTTTTCCAGCACATTTACAGGATATAATGTAAAGAAGATTAAAATGGCTGAAAACGAAAATGTAAACAATGAGATTTGGTCAGTGACATAAAGGGGAAGAGGAGGAGGGGAGAGGGTGACATTTTTCAAAACATACTTTCATATTTCACACGGTGCACACACACACATAACTAATTACATTATAAACAATGGGGTAATGTAATTATAACACTTGCACACATTATGCTGACCCACCATTACTGGCTGGCTCTCTTTCTCTCCCACTCTCAAACTTCCTGTGTAAACATGTTATTATTAAAAAAAAAAAATCCTCCCTACCCAAAAAGCCAAAGCCATTAGAAGTTCCAACAAAACTGGCCTGGTGCCTGGCTCAACTCCCAACATCACCATCATCAACGTCGTCATGCAAATAATGATGGCGTGTGGATATAATTTTTTCATCATTTACACGCATAATGATATCCTTGCAGTTGGATGGCGTGGGTGTGGAGGGAGAGTATTACAAACTCATTTCATGCCACATGCCACAAATGAAGCCACATTTGTTGGCTCCGTATGTATGTAGGTGGGTGTGTGTGTGTGTGTGGGATTTTCTTTCTAAAGAACCAAGTGCGATTGGGGGCCAAACAAATGTTCATCTAATTTTGTAAAACTGAAAATGAGAAGAAGCAAAGAAATATCCTCAAAAAAAAAAAAAAAAGCAAACACACTATCAAAGCCACGAAGCACTTAAAACTTGAAGGACTTCTCTGTGGTGTGATTTCAACTACACAGCTAACTTCAATGGATGTTACACGCATACCATGATGACAATGATGAGTAAAGTGGAGAGAAAAATCAACACACACACACACACACAAAACAGAATGACCTATTTACCCCTTTTTGGCGAACATGTGGGGTATGGGGATGCTGTTTGATGTCCAAAGAAATAAAGAATGAGAGAGAGAGAGAGAGAGATAAAGAGTGGGGGAAAAGAGTTATTGTGTAGAAAGGCCATATGTTTACATGTTCCTTCTACCCATAATGCTGA